ACACACACACACTCACACACACACACACACACACACACTCACACACACAATCGCAGGTTCATCTGATGTCTGGAGATTCTGGCCAGAGCTTCTTCATTTCCCTTTAAATCTTAAATATATTCTTAAGGACATCAAAACCTAAAATAAAACTCCAGAAAGGTGTACAATATGGGACCTTTAATCCGTTTAGGAGATAAAAAGTAAAGGTTATTGTTTTCATTTTAAAATGTTCACATTTTCTTCCCTTCAGATGGATGTTCGTTCTGAGGTTTTCACCTTTACTTTTTCCACGTCATTTATAACGTCACTTTGTTTGTTTATTTACTTCAGATTTCAGTGTTTAATTTTTTTTAACAATCGCATCTCACATTGTTTTATTTATTCGTTTGTTTTAACGTAAATGTATTTTTCCCCAGAGGTCTTGACTTTCCTCCTTTCTTTTTTATTTTTTTACTTTTATTTTATTTTATTTTCAACTGCTATAGATCCCATTCAGTATTTTTATCAACCAAATAAAGAAACGTACTGCAAATACAATTCTTTATTTGGTTGTGTTGTGAGCATTTGCAGCACCTGCTGTCAAACTGATGAAGATGGTTTCTTGATTTGCTGGTGCTTTTATTATTTGCAAGTTCTGAAGTAGGTATTTTGCTATTACATTGATTTATTTTAATCTATTTTTGAACAATCTCAGCTCGTATCATTTTATTTATCAGTTTATTTGAACGTTTTCTTATTTTATTTGTAATATTTTTTTGTTGGCCTTGCCTTTATCATCCATCACGTCTGTCATTGTTTTATTTTTCCTCCAGCTTCTCTCGACCAATCAGAAGCCTTGCTGAAATCACAGTCTGTCTGTGTCTGATTACAGTGTCTCAATCACTTACCTGTGTTGGCTCAAATATGTTGACATTCACTGTCTGATTGTAAGTATTCCCTCAGTCTCAGTCCGTTATCGTTACGTGTCTGTATCTGCGTCTCTCAGTCGCTTCATCTCCTCATCTCCACATGCTAGATATTTCACCTCACTTTTGTCCACGTTCACTCCATGTGATGGTTAATCTCTATGACGTGCCTGATATTTTATTCAGTGCCTAATTAACTCAGAGACCCAGAACGGCCGCGAGCCAACGGAATTTACAAGCCCTTTCATTTCAACCTCTTTCATTGGTTTCATGCCACGTAATTTAAGCTTTATTTTGTGGAACACAGTTATCATGGACGTCAATGAGGCGGAAACGATGAGCAGCACTGTAATTACGCGGATCCTCGTTAACTCTCCACCAAGTCACACAGAAATCAAAGACTCTCTGTTTTGTAAACACGAAGCTTAATTGCCAAGAAACTACATTATTCTATATTTCTGCTGCTTAATTTGGTTTGTTTCTGCGTTTGTCCTGGAGCTGCGGGCCGCGGCATCTGTCTCAGCTCCTTTTATACATTATCAAAGTTTTATTGATTTCACTCTGACTGTTGTCGAGAGGAGAACGGCTGGATCAGACGCCGCTTCGGGCTGATGTTCGGTGACGCTGGTATCTCGGCGCAAACTTTAGACGCCTCACAATTCATTTCTGATCTCTTAGAAATGTCAGCGAGAAAAGAACAACAGAGACCATCAGAAATGAGCCAGACTTCTGAACGCACACAGAAAACAAACACACACACACGCACAAACACAATCACACTGACAAACACATGCGTAAACACACTCCATCACATGCATAAACACTCACAAACACATGCGTAAACACACTCACAAACACAAACCCAAACACTCACAAACATGCATAAACACTCACAAACACAATCACACTCACAAACACATGCGTAAACACACTCACACTCACAAACACATGCGTAAACACACTCACACTCACAAACACATGCGTAAACACACTCACACTCACAAACACATGCGTAAACACACTCACACTCACAAACACATGCGTAAACACACTCACACTCACAAACACATGCGTAAACACACTCACACTCACAAACACATGCGTAAACACACTCACACTCACAAACACATGCGTAAACACACTCACACTCACAAACACATGCGTAAACACACTCACACTCACAAACACATGCGTAAACACACTCACACTCACAAACACATGCGTAAACACACTCACACTCACAAACACATGCGTAAACACACTCACACTCACAAACACATGCGTAAACACACTCACACTCACAAACACATGCGTAAACACACTCACACTCACAAACACATGCGTAAACACACTCACACTCACAAACACATGCGTAAACACACTCACACTCACAAACACATGCGTAAACACACTCACACTCACAAACACATGCGTAAACACACTCACACTCACAAACACATGCGTAAACACACTCACACTCACAAACACATGCGTAAACACACTCACACTCACAAACACATGCGTAAACACACTCACACTCACAAACACATGCGTAAACACACTCACACTCACAAACACATGCGTAAACACACTCACACTCACAAACACATGCGTAAACACACTCACACTCACAAACACATGCGTAAACACACTCACACTCACAAACACATGCGTAAACACACTCACACTCACAAACACATGCGTAAACACACTCACACTCACAAACACATGCGTAAACACACTCACACTCACAAACACATGCGTAAACACACTCACACTCACAAACACATGCGTAAACACACTCACACTCACAAACACATGCGTAAACACACTCACACTCACAAACACATGCGTAAACACACTCACACTCACAAACACATGCGTAAACACACTCACACTCACAAACACATGCGTAAACACACTCACACTCACAAACACATGCGTAAACACACTCACACTCACAAACACATGCGTAAACACACTCACACTCACAAACACATGCGTAAACACACTCACACTCACAAACACATGCGTAAACACACTCACACTCACAAACACATGCGTAAACACACTCACACTCACAAACACATGCGTAAACACACTCACACTCACAAACACATGCGTAAACACACTCACACTCACAAACACATGCGTAAACACACTCACACTCACAAACACATGCGTAAACACACTCACACTCACAAACACATGCGTAAACACACTCACACTCACAAACACATGCGTAAACACACTCACACTCACAAACACATGCGTAAACACACTCACACTCACAAACACATGCGTAAACACACTCACACTCACAAACACATGCGTAAACACACTCACACTCACAAACACATGCGTAAACACACTCACACTCACAAACACATGCGTAAACACACTCACACTCACAAACACATGCGTAAACACACTCACACTCACAAACACATGCGTAAACACACTCACACTCACAAACACATGCGTAAACACACTCACAAACACATGCATAAACACTCACAAACACATGCATAAACACACTCAATCACATGCGTAAACACACTCACAAACACAATCACACTCACAAACATGCATAAACACTCACAAACACAATCACACTCACAAACACATGCGTAAACACACTCACAAACACATGCATAAACACTCACAAACACATGCGTAAACACTCACAAACACATGCATAAACACTCACAAACACATGCATAAACACTCACAAACACATGCATAAACACACGCACACACATGTACGCATAAACACACGCATGCACAAACACTCAAGCAAACAAACACACTAACACACACACATGCACAAACACTCACAAACAAACTCACACACACACAAGCAAACAAACACATGCAAAAAACGAATGCACACACAAACAAACACAAGCACAGACACACACATGGACAAACACTCACTAAAACAAACAAACACATGCTCAAACACACAAACAAATGCACAAATGTGCATACATGCACATACATGCAATCACACACCTTCACACATGCACACAAACAGTTGTTAAGGTGTTTTGGGTAGTTGTCAGGATGTTGCTATACAGAGCTGATGAAGTATTTTGATTCAGTTGCTATGCAGTTGCTAGGGTGTTTTGTTTAAATGCCTGGACCTAGTTATTTGCTAATTATAGTTATTTTATGTGTTACTATGCAGTTGCACAAAACAATGTTACAATGCACAAAAATCTGTTGTATTTCCTGTACAGTAGCTTATTTTATGTATTCTTCAAACAGGTTTGCCCTTTAGACCAGGGATGGGCAGTATTTATGATACATGTATTTCAAATACATATTTCGTAGTTTGCCCAGACTTGTTGCTGCACTATTAATGTGTATGTGTCCTCTATACGTCTTTGGCACTCGATAGATTCAGTGGTTGGAGTTGGGTTAATACTCCTTGACAAGTTCTGTTGCTACTTTCTGACTGCATTTAAAATCAAAACATATTGATCATTTAATAATAGTCGAAATGCTAAAATGTTTGTTTTCAACTTCCAAATAGATGTCCAATGATTGATAAATAAATATTTTATTCCTGATTATTGTGCCCTAATTGAAGTAGCTGTTTAGTAGGATCATGATTCTGCATACCATTGCGTGAATGACTGCCTGACACATAATATATTATTATATTTATATTAGTTAAACTAGTTGCTATGAATACAGGTGCCATCAGTTGTCTTCTTATGAATGACTTGTTTGTCATTGAGTCAGTGCTGCTGATGCAAAGTAGGCCCTTCGTTACCAAACACCAAGTAACTAAATTAGGATACAATTATGAGTCATTCGCAAGCTGTTAAACATTAAACTGTTGGTTACTTTAAAACTAACCTTCATCTGGGAGATCGCAGGGATATGTGAATATTGTATCTGTTAAATGGTTGCATATGTCAGATTCATTGCATGACTCTGATAGCTGTTGCTATATCAATATATATATATGCTATATATTATGCTCCCTTGTAAAAGTATTTTTTAGTATTGTTAAAATGCAGTAGTTTATTTTGATACATGGTGTGGCTGCTGTATTTTGTAGTTTATTTTGATACACTTCAAATTATGGTATTTGGTATTTTATTGTAAAATAGCCTACATTTTGATGTATCTTTGTCCAACCCTGCTTCAGACATACTTCATCCCACCCTCTGAAGTGTGCGCATACAGTAGCTCTGTGAGGTTTGATGTCCTACTGTACATCCTGAAGGGTTTATTCATTCATTGTGTCTTCACTTGCACATGTTTATTGGATCGTCCTCTTCCAGGACTGGGAGTTTCCTCACTTCATGGGCGATCTGGACATGAACCTCCCGGGTCTTTCCACCACGCAGCTGAAGATCAAACTGCCCGTCTGCAAGCGCATCTTTAAGGATGAGTACCACATCCACATCACGGGTAAATACACACACTTGTGCTTTAAGTAGGGCACGACAGCAAATACACCGTGAGCACAATTATGCCGGTGAAGCAAGCAGTATAGTGCTCTAAACTGTCGTTTGGGACAGGACGGATGAATTAATTCCTTTCCCAAAGGGACACGCTGTCAGAATATTAGCTCGTTAGATACATCTCTTTATAATGATGTGTTTGAAGGCAGTGTTGGTAATGCATACTAATTAGTATTTGCTCATCTGTAAACGTGCGTTTATATAATGGAGTCAGTAAATCTGACGGAAGTGTGCGAGCGAACCACTTCGGTTTCTCGTTTTCCATCTCGCTGTGTTTTGCTCACTGTAGCGAGGCTCTTGATGGCCGTCTTGGGAGTAGATGATCGCTCCCTGGAGTCTTGGGAAATGGCCTTCCTGCTCAACCGTTCATAAAAGTCTTTAACCTTATTGTTTGGCGTGGTGATTTAGCGTTTGAGAGTAACCCCGCATGAGTGCGTTAACAACAAAAGCCATTAGAAAGTGACTCCCAACTCAATTATTTCACTTTCTCAAGCAGCCGTCTGACTCGCAGATACTCTGGGATCAATTCCCAACATGCTGATCTTCTATTTTCCTTTTTTCTACATCAGGGAAATGGTTTAATGGTTGCTGTGCAGTTGCTAAGGTGTTTTGGGTGGTTGCCAGGTTGTTGCTATGCGGTTGCTAAGGTGTTTTGGGTGGTTGCCAGGTTGTTGCTATGCAGTTGCTAAGGTGTTTTGGGTAGTTTCCACTTGCCAGGGTGTTGCTATGCAGTTGCTGTGGTGTTTTGGGTTGTTGCCAGGGTGTTGCTATGCAGTTGCTAGGGTGTTTTGGGTAGTTGCCAGGATGTTGCTGTATAGAGTTTTGAGTATATTGCTATGCAGTTGTTAAGGTGCTTTGAGTAATTGCCAGGATGTTGTAATTTAAGGTGCTTTGAGTAATTGCCAGGATGTTGTAATTTAAGGTGTTTTGTGTAGTTGCCAGGGCGTTGCAATGCCGTTTCTAGGGTGTTTTGGGTAGTTGCCAGGATGTTGTAATTTAAGGTGTTCTGTGTTGTTGCCAGGGCATTGCTATGCAGTTGCTAGGGTGTGTTTGATTGTTGCCAGGATGTTGCTATATAGAGTTGTTAAAGTGTTTTGGGTATGTTGTTATAGAGTTGCTAGGGTGTTTTGGGTAGTTGCTAGAATGTTATGTAGCTGTTAAGGTGTTGCTATGTACATTTGTTACAAGGATGTTGCTACATATGCAGTTGTTAAGGTGTTTTGATTAAATGGCAGCACATTGGTATTTAGTTGTTATGGTGTTTTGGGTAGTTGCCAGGGTGTTGCTATGCAGTTGCTGTGGTGTTTTGAGTTGCCAGGACGTCACTATGCAGTTGCTGTGGTGTTTTGGGTTGTTGCCAGGGTGTTGCTATGCAGTTGCTAGGGTGTTTTGGGTAGTTGCTAGGATGTTGCTATGCAGATGCTTTGGTGTTTTGGGTAGTTGCCAGGACATTGCTATGCAGTTGCTGTGTGTTGTGTGTAGTTGCCAGTGCATTGCAATGCAGTGTGTAGGGTGTTTTGTGTAGTTGCCAGGATGTTGTAATTTAGGGTGTTTTGTGTAGTTGCCAGGGCGTTGCAATGCAGTTTCTAGGGTGTTTTGTGTAGTTGCCAGGATGTTGTAATGTAGGGTGTTTTGTGTAGTTGCCAGGGCATTGCAATGCAGTTTCTAGGGTGTTTTGTGTAGTTGCCAGGATGTTGTAATTTAGGGTGTTTTGTGTAGTTGCCAGGGCGTTGCAATGCAGTTTCTAGGGTGTTTTGTGTAGTTGCCAGGATGTTGTAATTTAGGGTGTTTTGTGTAGTTGCCAGGTCGTTGCAATGCAGTTTCTAGGGTTTTTTTGGTAGTTGCCAGAATGTTATGTAGGCCTAGCAGTTAAAGTGTTGCTATGGACATTTGTTACCAAAACGTTGCTATGGAGTTGTTAAGGTGTTTTGAATAAATGCCAGCATGTTGTTATTTAGTTGCTAGGTTGTTTTGGGTAGTTGCCAGGATGTTGCTATGCAGTTGCTGTGGTGTTTTGAGTAGTTGCCAGGGTGTTTCCATGCAGTTGCTATGGTGTTCTTGGTATTGGCCAGGTTGTTGCTATGCAGTTGTTTGTCTTCTGATTAAATGCCAGGACATTGCTATGCAGTTTCTAGGGTGTTTTGGGTAGTTGCCAGGGTGTTGCTATGCAGTTGCTGTAATGTTTTGGGTTGCCAGTGTGTTGCTATGCAGTTGCTGTGGTGTTGTGGGTTGCCAGTACATTGTTATGCAGTTGCTGTGGTGTTTTGGGTAGTTGCCAGGGTGTTGCTATGCAGTTGCTGTGGTGTTTGGCTTATCAGTTTGTTGCTATGCAGTTGCTGTGGTGTTTTGGGTAGTTGCTAGGATGTTGCTATGCAGATGCTTTGGTGTTTTGGGTAGTTGCCAGGACATTGCTATGCAGTTGCTGTGGTGTTTTGGGTAGTTGCCAGGGAGCTGCCATGCAGTTGCTGGGGTGTTTTGGGTTGCCATTGTGTTGCTATGCAGTTGCTGTGGTGTTTTGGATAGTTGCCAGGGTGTTGCTATGCAGTTGCTTTGGTGTTGTGGGTTGCCAGTACATTGCTATGCAGTTGCTGTGGTGTTTTGGGTAGTTGCCAGGATGTTGCTATACAGAGTTGCTAAAGAGTTTTGAGTATGTCTGAAATACACTGGGATAAATTCCAAACACACTAATCTTCCCCTTTTTTCTCCCTATCGCAGGGAAATGGTTTAATTACGGAATTATCTTCCTGGTCCTCATCCTGGACCTCAACATGTGGAAGAACCAGATCTTCTACAAGCCCTATGAATACGGTCAATACGTAGGTCCAGGAGAGAAGATCTACACTGTGGAGGATCCAGAAACGCTGCGCGACTTCAACCGCAGCACACTGACCTGGGAGTGGCGCTCCACCAACATCGACCCGCGCACCAACCAGACGTACGTCCAGAGAGACATGTTCCTTCACAGCCGCTACGTGGGCGCCAGTCTGGATGTCAAATGCCTGGCGTTCATCCCGAGTCTGGCGGCCTTCGTGCTCTGCGGGTTCTTCATTTGGCTGTTCGGACGCTTCCAAGACAGCGAGACGTTCCCTGAGAATCAAGACAAGAGCTACGAGCGCATCAAGCGCAAGTCGCCGTCTGATCTGGGAGTCACGCCGGAGGAAGTGCACATCACCATGAGCGAGGCCTTGAAGAGGAGCGGGACGCCCATGCTGCTTCTGGTGGACACTCATCATTTCGGGTCGTCAAACAACTCCATGTCGCCGTGTTCGAACGAAACCCAGGAGACCCAACCCAGTGTAGCCGTTGACAACAACGCCCATGAGGACACAGCTGATGTCAAAAAACTGACCCCATGACCGTAACCAAAGGTCAAATCGGCTTTCTGAGATCCTCAGCGTTGTTTGATGTCCAACAGACTTGGTGTTCAAAGTCCTCGGGAAAACTATCACAGACTCTACCTTGAAATTTGTATTTTTATATCAAGCGATCTTGCACTGCGCACCAACTTTCTGAACTTTTTCCACATTTTCAAGGACATTGGTCTTTGCTGCTGGATGTTTGACTTTTCTATCTCTTTTTTTATGTAGATACTTTTGTGCCTACATGGATGAAATGTTGTCCTCACAGTGAACGCATGGCATGATGGTCATGAAAATACTTGTAATGAACACCTAAATCTGTGCCTTCATTAAAAAACTTTGAAGGCAGTGCTGGGTAGATTATTTACAAATTGTAGTCTGTTACTGATTCCAAATCACATGACAAAAATTGTAGTTAGTAACGTAATCCATTACACTTTTAGGTAATATAATCAGATTACTTTTAGATTACTTTTGATCTAACTTGTTTATCACATTGACTTAAATAGGATATTCGTGTACCATATTGAAATGAAAATACAAAGAGAAAGCAAATATAGTCCATTTGTTGTTATTAACAGCATGAAGTGCATTAAACATTACGCTACATCAAGGTTTCCCAAACTGGGCTTTGTGAAGGAACTGAAGGGGGGTTGTGTGTTTATTGAAAAGCTAATAATTAATTAAATCATTAAAATGTAAAATTAAAATAACAACAATTAAAATAAAACACTTACTAAAAACTTACCTGGATGTCATGTGACCGTTAACTAACTTCAAAGGACAGTGAACATGCAAAAGTTCGTAAATACAGTGGTCAAATGCCGTCTTTGTGTGAAAAGTCTAAACTGGAAGACTTTCTGATTGTATATAAGTGGTAGGATATTTTAGAAAGGAAAACTGAAAATAATAATAAGGAAGAATCAATCAATTCTGAACAATTTATTGCTATTGCGGCAAAAGTAACTGTCTGATTACAAGTATTTTAAAATGTAATCTAATTCCAAGTACTTAATTTTTGGAATTTGATTATGTAATCCAGAATACACATAATCAGTTACTACCCAGCACTGATTGCAGGTTACTAAAGATCGTGTCAAATCATTATCCGTTGAGTTATTTATCAGTTATTTAGACACCAAACTGCTGTGCAACCAAATACGTTCACATGCATGTATTGGAAAATCGGATTTATCTCGAGAAGTAGAATTATAGTATATGCACGTGTTACCACTTTTCAGTATTTTCAGTAAAAAAAAAATAGTGCATTTCGTTTTTTAGGTTCAGCCAAAGCAAAACGGATTCCTTTGTCTTTTATACGTGTGTGATTTTGAAATCTTCACCGCAGTGTGTTGTTTTCCCATCTTCATTTAATCTGTTCATGTTGGTGCTGTGTGTTTTTCTGATGAGCAGGTGAGCCCCTCTTAAAATGTTTGGACGGTAAATATCAGATATATTTGCGTCAAACCCTGTTATCAATAAAGACCTTCTTCTGACACGCAGGTACCATGTTATTTCAGCGGTTGCATGTTATCGGTGGAAATGGTTCTTCTCGTATCGAGATGCTTCCGAAGTGGTGTTAGTCGCCGGTAGTTGTGTTCCAGTGTGACCTGGTTGCCAAGCAACCCCGAAGGCCATCCTTCATCCAGATGTCGATCCGGTTCTGCAGAAAGTGGCAATTGGGTAAACCGCGATTAGGCACCATTACGGGTCAAAACACAAGGGTTAGCTATAAAAGCATTTTTCACTGAAGGTGATATATTGAAGCTTTCAGAAATCTGCATGTGACATGTTACCGCTTCACATGTGACCACTTTCAGTGTTTGTTCCTGCGGAGAGAAGTGTAAAAGTTTCTTTACAGCCATTTCGGTTCATAATAGATCCTATTTTATTGCTTTTGAAGTTTGTCGACTGCCTTTTCAAAGCACTGTGCTTTGACATGATTATTCTCAATCTTTTCTGTACAGTAGTTGTAAACCTGAAATTTTCTTGCTGTAGTTGCACGGCTTTTAATCTCCACACAACACAATACACTGGTGAGGGAATCTGGAGCACGCTTGACTGTTGTTGTGGCATTTGATGCTGGCAAATCTGTTCCTCACCATCCGACTATAAGTCCGCCTCTAACTTTCAATATCTGTGATCATGGAGAGAAATTAGCTATTGATTTCTTTGCAGGGCACAGACAGACATGCAGTACTGTATTAGCAAAGCAAGTTAGAGGAGAAAATGACACAAAAATTAACCCCTGGTAACCTACAGCTGAATAGTGTAAGTAACAGTCTCTGTCAGGAACAGTTCACGCATAGTTTACAGTGATTAAAGCAGTTGTTTCTAATGTATACATGAGTCAGACAGTAATATTATATGAATTTGAGGCGTAATTGCATAACGGCTGAAAACTGTTGAGTGTTTATCAACAAAGAGATTAAATAATTTGATATGTGTGAAATTGCACACAAAGATACATTTTAATGACCACATGTACATGCTTTTCAGAATGAAAGGATAAACTAATAGGCTAAATATTGGAAAATATAACTGAATTAATTTGTGTTTTCTGCTGGCCTTAATGTAGGCCTACATAAAAAATTACTGACTCTAAATCGCTCTTTTCTTTATTCAAAATTGATCTACAGATGTATAAAGAAAACTGTATATTCGTCTTATGTGTGCCTCTTAAGGTGTTAATTTATTTATTTTTCTTATTAACCTTGCAAAAAACTCTGTGTATACTTTCTTTCTTTTTTCAGTGTTTTGTTTTTAGAACTCTGTTTTGTAATGTTTAATATAAAAAAAAATAATCGAAAAAAGATACAAAGTTCCTATTAAATTCAAATGATTTGCAATTCGCGCTCCGAAGTCCCAATCTAAATTTTAAAAAATCACAATACACGTTTCGAAGTTTCGATCCAAATCAAGAGTCGCAAAACCTCTCAGAAGTTCCAATCTAAATAAAATGATTCGTGATATGCGCTCCGAAGTCCAGATCTGAATAACGATTCGCGATACGCCCTCCGAAGTCCAGATCTGAATAACGATTCGCGAATCAAGAGTCGCAAAACCTCTCCGAAGTTCCAATCTAAATAAAATGATTCGTGATACGCGCTCCGAAGTCCAGATCTGAATACTGATTCGCGATACTCCCTCGGAAGTCCTGATCTGAATAACGATTCGCGATACGCCCTCCGAAGTCCAGATCTGAATAACGATTCGCGATACTCCCTCCGAAGTCCAGATCTGAATAACGATTCGCGATACTCCCTCCGAAGTCCAGATCTGAATAACGATTCGCGATACGCCCTCCGAAGTCCAGATCTGAATACTGATTCGCGATACTCCCTCCGAAGTCCAGATCTGAATAACGATTCGCGATACGCCCTCCGAAGTCCAGATCTGAATAACGATTCGCGATACGCCCTCCGAAGTCCAGATCTGAATAACGATTCGCGATACTCCCTCCGAAGTCCAGATCTGAATAACGATTCGCGATACACGCTCCGAAGTCCCAATCTAAATTAAAAAAAATCCCAATACACGTTTCGAAGTTTTGATCTGAATCAGAAGATTCGCAAAACCGCTCCGAAGTTCCAATCTAAATAAAATTATTCGTGATACGTGCTCCGAAGTCCCAATCTAAATTTTAAAAATCACAATACACGTTTATCAAAAGAGTCGCAAAACCGCTCCGAAGTTCCAATCTAAATAAAATTATTCGTGATACGCGCTCCGAAGTCCAGATCTGAATAACGATTCGAAATATGCCCTCCAAAGTCCAGATCTGAATAATGATTCGCGATACACGCTCCGAAGTCCCAATCTAAATTTTAAAAAATCCCAATACACGTTTCGAAGTTTCGATCCGAATCAAAAGATTCGCAAAACCGCTCCGAAGTTCCAATCTATATAAAATTATTTGTGATACGCGCTCCGAAGTCCAGATCTGAATAACGATTCGAAATATGCCCTCCAAAGTCCAGATCTGAATAATGATTCCCGATACACGCTCCGAAGTCCCAATCTAAATTTTAAAAAATCCCAATACACGTTTCGAAGTTTCGAACCGAATCAAAAGATTCGCAAAACCGCTCCGAAGTTCCAATCTATATAAAATTATTCGTGATACGCGCTCCGAAGTCCAGATCTGAATAATGATTCGCGATACGCGCTCCAAAGTCCAGATCTGAATAACGATTCGCGATACGCGCTCCGAAGTCCTGATCTGAATCAAAAGATTCATGAACCCGCTTAGTTCCGATCTGTATCAAATGATTCACGAAGCCGCTCCGAAGTCCTGATCTGAATCAAATGATTCGCGACACAAGATCCGATTGGCATGCTTCGTAACAGCGATGCAATGGTTTGATTCTGAGTTTCGAAAAGCACCCTTTTTACAATCATCACAAGTGATGTCGAAATTCGAAAATGAATGGTCCTTTACTGGTTTTTGCTAGTGAATCACTTGAAATTAATGATCGAAATCATGAGTTTGAGTTTGAATCAATCAGGGCGTTTATTTGTTAGTGTGCACTGTCACTGAAGCAACAAATATAGGTATTTAATCATAGAATTATATGCAGTCTTCCTGCAGACACACATGCATTTACAGCGATTATATGAACGGTTTGGTTAGCATGATGTGTAGCAGACTTGTCTGCATGTCAGGGCAACAATTCAATGAACCAGAAATAAATATTAAGTTATTTAAATTGTAGAGACAATATTGTTTTTTTTGCTGTATTTACAAATATACAAAACCAGTCTTAAACAAAGCCAAGTTGAGCGTCTCTGCAGCAACACACAGTGCTTGTTTCCTTACTGAATGAATTTGAGTTTTGAACAAATCATGTGAGTCAGTGATTCACTGATCCATTCAGAAAAACAGTCTCTTCCTTCCTGAATCAATCAGTCATTTTGAAAAATCAATGAATAAATGACTAAATAAGTGACTCACTCATTAAGACAGTGGCTTGCCGCCCCCTACTGGCAATTTTAATTTCATATTTATAAGTATCATTCTATTTTTTTCTATAATTTCAAATTTCTATATTCCAGCTTATGAATTTAAAACATTTATCTCATAACATTATTTATGCAATTTGTAAGTGCAGTGTAAATGCATGTACAAGTGTTAAAAAACAAAAATAAAATAAGTATATGGAACCTTGCATGATTAATTAGGTCTTAGTCTCAGCCTCAGACGTCACGCCCACGGAACATTGGCTAAACGTCTGATGCATACGGCACACAAAAGTGGAAACACTTCAGGAGTTTCGAAGTCGTCATTGGATTGGTTGAATTATGCAGGATTTCCGGGAGACGTGTGTGTCAC